GCACAACTATAATTACTTTTCAAAGAAAGTATGTGGTGGTAATCCCCTCAAGATTTTGTCGCTTCAACGTTCCAACTTCTTCTTGTATTTTGCTAACTGTTTGCGAAATAATGAAGCTTTCTCCATCGGGTTTATACCTTCTGTGACATATGCGTTCTAGCCAAACATAACGTTTATGTCAAACTATCGCTTCCAATTTCTTAAAACGAAGTCTTTCTGGACGAGCGCCAAAGACCCATCTGCCCGAATACATGGAACAGAACCACACTATTTCTTCAATCCCGCTACAGTTTCGCAGATTTTCTCATCACAAGGAGAAGCGGGGTAAAAGAGTGCATAACCATCGATATGGGAAAAGGAACGGGGATGAGAATGCCCACAAACGAAACTCATCAGAAAACAAAAGAAAAATCCTTATTTTTGCATCTTCAGAATTGTTCGCATGCCCTTATTCGCGACAGATGCCTGCGCAAACTAGCAGCGGCTTCCTGAAACAAATGGAATAGGTGTGAGCAAAAATAAAACGAAGCGAGAATGGACATGCGCAAGAACACAAACACTGTGTTTGTTTTATTACACATTCAACTTGAACCGCAGAGCGTGAAAGTGAACATGAGCTGAGTAGGGTGCTGGGTTCAAAGGTATGTACCCATAACTATGGACAATTCAGAATCCACTTAAGGCCAAATAATGAATTCTTCACTGATTTTCAGAAATACTAAACCGTAATGAAAATTTACGCATTTATACTACCGCTGCATGAGTTGACCGGATTTTCATAGATTTTCCAAAATTTTTTTGTAACGGTTATTTGGGTGAGATATTACCGAAAACCCAAAAGTCTGCAAATCTACCAATCTGGCTCAATTTTTTTGCAGCACAAGACTGCAAAAGCATACAATTTTTTATTTTGAGTGCAGTTTCTATTCAAGAAGTAATAAAAATAACTTCATACAATGCTAAGCGCCAAATTTCTATTTCTTCGGAGTTCAACGTTCTAAATAAAAAATCAGTGGCAACAACCGTTCCTCCTTTGGAACTTTTTGCCAAGAATTTCATAAGTCTTTTGCAGCAGATGAGCTGTTATGTTGACAGTCCCAAAAGAACCGCTTTTTGAGATTAAGGTCAAAGTCTGAGATATTGAAGCTCGAGTGAAAACTTCATCGTTCAGAAAAAAAGATTCATGTTGATTGCAGAGTGCTACCAAATCCTCAGCTTCCATGTTTTTGCCTTTTTAAGGCCTTCTCATGTCCTTGATTCCAAATACAATACCGATCATAATTCGTCAAAAAAGTCGCCGGAGTGCGGCGCACTCCGCCACACTCAGCCGCACTCCGGCGCACTGCGCCGCACTCCGCCACACTCCAACGCACTCTAGCGCACTCCGCCGCAGTCCGCCACACTCCGACGCACTCCGGCGCACTGCGCCACACTCCGCCACACTCCGACGCACTCTAGCGCACTCCGCCGCAGTCCGGCGACTTTTTTGACGAATTATGAGCGGTATTGTATGAGGTGGGAAATCCGCACAACTCCAAAATATGGGGGACGGCTTGAACGGTGATTGGATAGGCAAACAAGGATGGGCGGGCATTACCTAGGGGGGGGGGCTTAGCTTCCTCGTCCCTCTTCCTTATTCTGGAACGATTTTCTCGCTCCCAAAGACACATGTGGCGTCTTGGGCATCGACTTGATAGGCGCTACCACCATCCATCAAAAGCTCAAGACCCCTAACTTAAGGTGTGCGGTGCTTTTAAGTAACTTGTTGGTAGTCGGAAAAACTCTCGATGCAGCTGCATTTAGCTTAATACGTACTTGCATGCTAGATGCTCTCCTGAATTTTTAGCAAAAAAAGCGAGATCATCTTTCCAATAAAGTCGTATGTCTCTCTCATGTTGGGCAAACGACTTCATCTATCACTGCATCTGCAAATTTAAGAAACTTTTTTGTCAAATTGTTTTCCAACAAGTATGGCCAGAGGAGGTGGAGAATCTGGCTCATCGATGTCCTCTCAGCGCCGACATAACGTCACCGGAGAAAATTGATCATAAGCGGTCCATCTATCGGTCTAAAGATGCCAAAACATGCTTTTTTTGTCAAAACTGCATTTTTTCTCTTTCTCTCTAAACTCTTGTTTTATATCATTATCGTTTTTTCGGAAAGGAGTGATATTTGCTGCTTGCGACACTACAAGCGGGAATCCTTCCTTTCAAGATGCTGATGCAAAGCTCAATTTTTTGCGTCAACAGCTTTGACGAACATAGCAAGATCGAGGTTTATCGGGACTCGTGCCACATGTGTGCCAAACACCTTGTTTTAAAACTGCGACCGTAGGGCATCCACCTTATTGGTCTAGCCTGTGCACTTTTGAACGTTTTGTGGAGTTAGGTCATTTTAGACCTGAACCGCAGACAGATAATGTTGATGAGTTAATTCAAAGAGTATCAAAGGAACATTGCAAGATCAAAGTAGGAGAGTCACATGATATTTCCAAAATCTATTCGCACAAGTGCAGCAAAAACTACTTTTTTTCCGAAGAAAGAATGCCTGGGAAGTCTCCCCAAAAAGAACATGTAACAGGAGCTCAGAGGGACTATATAAGGAGAAAGATGCAAGGGCAAAAGAACACGCGGGAGCAGAAAAGAGCAAGCCTGTTGTTTTTGGCCAAATAGACGTATTGCGCATAAATCGTGATACCCATCGGAACCTCTGGCAGCTGTGCCGGCGGAATTGCCTGAGCCAGCACGGCGCTGTTTCGGCGCTGTCCTTCACAGTTGTGCAACTGTACGTAGCCCGAGCTTTACGCAGAGGGTATGCGAGTGAGGATAAACGTTGTAGAAGGCTTGTAAAAACAATGTAAAAGGCTTGTAATACATGTCCAGCATGAACGGCAGTTTGCAAATCCCACTTTCGCCCTTTTTGAGGATGCAAGCTGATTCTAAATTACCGCTAACTGAAAGTCCTTCCTTCTGGAAGGGGGAGAAAAGATCTTTCAAAACAGTGCCTCCCACTGGAGTCATTTTGTAGAAAGTCAGCAGAAAGGAGTGCTTATTTGGAAGCCAATGGTGACGCGGTCTGTCGATGCGCACCTTGACAGAAAGCGTAAGAGTCGCTATCTCAGTGGAAACAACGGAGCATTTGCGTTACTCTCGGAGTTTGGTATAGAATGTTTCGCGAAGCTCCACTGAAGGGTACATTTCAGGGGTCGGATTCGTTCAGGTTACTCAGCAGAATGTGATACTCTTAGAAAAGCTTTCGACACTCTTTCAATTCCGTCTTCTTGCCTGCTTTTGAAAACCAAGGCCCTTGCGGAGCATTTCTAAAGATTATAAGTTGCTGCCAATCGCCTACGACGAGCTGTACTAGCCTTGCAGAAAATTCTCCTCCTATGAACATTTTTGGCAGTCTTGAATTTGCATTTCAAGTATTTTACAAACTTTGATGAAACTCCATTCTTTACAAGCCGGGTACCTTTTGAATGTCTTTGGATTGTTGCTTCCTTACATCTGGTTACGGCTTCTGACCGCTAAAACAGCTTCTAGGCACCTCTTCACAGTATCGTATGCGACTTGCAATGGCTTCTGGGTTTCGCGCGAAACTAGGACGGTGGATCCTCACGCGAGCGTGTAACCCTATGCAAGCCGTCATCTTTTTCAGTTCGAAATCGCGCTTCTGCTTACGAGGGAATGGTCAAAAGTCGAAGTATCCAATCCAAAGAAGCTGCCTACCATGCAGCATAGAAAGCTGACTTCAAATCTGCCTTCCTTATCTGCAGAACGCCTTTGTAGGCGAAGTCATGAGCAGTTTTACCGCGAGAAAATCGTCTATAAAAATTGCGAAATTGAGTTTATTACTGCCCGTTTGGCTCACTTTTAGGTATAGACCATTTAAAGTAACCAAGCTGGATGTTTTGGTTGAACGTTGAGCCAAACATGGCTCTATACGGCCAAATCTGCCCTTTACGCGCACGATTTCTTAGTTCTGCAGATAGGGAAGACAGATTTCGAATCGGCGTTTTATACTGCATCTAATGTTATGCAACCTATTTGGATTGGCCACTTTGATTTCTGGCAATTCCTTGTTAGAGAAGGCGATAATTCTAAACACTGCAGAGCACTGAGGCTTGCGAGGTGGGCAGATTCCACACTTGGTTAAAAAAGTATTTTAATGTGTGGGCAAGTTTCTCCAACGGCGGCGTTCTTCTCTTTCTGTGAATATAGAGTTTACAGATGGAGTTTACAGGTGGATATCTGTAATGGAAAAAAGCCGAACGGAATTGGCGAGTCGATTTTACTGCTGGCCTCCAAACTTCCCATCCTGTATATTGTTTAATTAGGTAATCGAATTTCTGCCCACAATAAGCACATGAGGAACGGTATGCGGTACGCCGAACGACTTCTTTCATTAAGGGTCTTCTCGATTTTTGATCAATTATTTTTCGCCGATTTCGGGACTCGCGCAGGAATTCCGTGACTATATCCGACGAGAACAAAGCTAGCAACCTAAGCTTTCAATGATCAAACTTTTTCGCCATTGATGGTTATTTTTTGTCAATCATGATTGGACGTCTCACCAACGGTCGTTGTAGTAAAATGCACTCCAATACACCTTGAAGCATCGAAAATGGCGTAAAAGTCGGCATGTGGGTCTGTCTTGTCTTTGACGATGCAAAGGTACAGATACCTTATAGCAAGTCGACAATATACACTCATATTTTTCACCAAAAAATTTTAGTATTCATAATTCTGTCGGCAAACAGCGACTTTATTCCTTTTGAAGAATTGTCATTATCTCTCAGACCAAATGAAGCGTGCCAAAGACTTGCAAAACAATGCTCGACTCATCAATTATTTCTTTTACAAAATCGTACCTTAGCTTGGAACAATTTCCACATGCTCTATGCACGCAATGTGCAAACCGCTCATTAATTCTCTGCACCCTGACTGGAACCATAGTGCTAGTTGTCATAGTCTCCTTGCTGTAAAAAAGTAAAAGAGATCTTCTCTTTAATCCCTTTTCCCTGCTCATTCAATTTCCAAACATCCGTCTCTCTACGCCGCCGCTGCTGTTCATCATCAGCTTCTTCTTTTACTAACTGCAACCCTATGGTTGTTCCTCTTGCAAATGAATGTGTTGCTCGCAAGTATTACGTCTGGCTTTATTCCACTTCCCTTCAGTGCAATAATTCCAACGACGAAGTTGAAGGTAAATTATGTTCTATAGTTTTTACTCAATGTATACATCATATAGAATGCAAAATTTGACATGATCCCAACTAATAAGCTTCGAAAAAGCTCACAAATTTTTTTGTATCTTCTTGTGAAAACAGTAACGTGTCTTGAAGACTATCCACCTGCGGTATAGTATACCTGCGTCGCAGACAACAAAAAGGTTTGGTGTAGCAGTTAGTGTAGTAGTTTTTTGCAGCTAATAAAGCACATGCATTTTGCTGGTTGATCAAACAGGTATACTAGTCTGTTCAAATTTGTTCCGCGAAGAGGCGCAAAATTGATCGAAATTGGTTAAATTATCTTCTTTGAGTAAGTTTCGGAAAATTGGTCAATGCCCCGCCATTTCTCAGCTACAGTATATCATATCGTCCCAAGCGCACGTCTGCATCTCATCATCTCTTTCACTCTCCATTTTTCAAAATGCCAGCGCTGTTCGCCTGAGCCTTCTGCAAAGCGAATGCGTTGTTTCGTTCAGACTGCTTTTGACAACATCAGATTGAAAGAAGTTGAGACACCATTTTGTCACTGTCTCAGATATAGGGCACTTGAAAAATGGTGGCGATGGCGCGACCGCGCGAAACACCCACGCATTCCGGCAATCGCATTTTGTTGGTTCCATCTTTATTCGAACGTTTTTCTGCTTACATAAGACAATACTTTTTTGAAAACTGTTTTGAGCTACTGTGGGTGCAGAGACTGCAGTAAAATCCGTCGTCACGACTTTACGTTTATCTGCCAAAGCGTTTGGCTTACATCCGTGAAAATCGTGATATAATCCGTAAAATACAGCAATTTCCATTTGCTGTGTTTCAAAAATTTTGGTGAAAATGGACCTAAATAATTACAGATTGAGCGTTGGTTGCATTGTTATGGAAATTTGACTTTCAATGTTCTTCAAATATATAAATGCTTACAAAATTGAGAAACGTTGATATAAATGTCTGCCAAAAATTGCACCTCTCAATGTCGGATGTAGATGCAGAATCCAGGAATGCAAACGCTGCTCATTTGTCTATAAGGTCAATATCTCACTAATGTAGGTGCCTATGTTCCTCGTTTGCGTCCGTAAGGTTGCTATTGCCTTCATCCGACGTAAATACATCATTGTCACGCCCCATGTTAAATTTAACTTTTATACACGCTTGTACTAACCACTTGTCAGTACAGTCAATTGCAAGAATTTTTCACTAAGTAGCTGAGTCCTGTTCAAAAACTGTGCTTCCGCAGAGGACATGCCGACTATAACATCTTAATAGATCAGGATGCAACATCAGCTTTGCTCCTTGGCTTACAGGGGATTGCTCAGGCCTGTGGCCAGTCTCTTTGAGCTAATATTATGATCACTCAACTAATTATTTGGCCCTCTTATATTTGCCAAACGGTCTTTCGTAAAATTATCGCTTATTTTGGCATGATCTGTCCGCGCGCATAGGATGCGGATTGTCCAGAGGTCTATGTGTTAGACTGTTTCTTTGTTTTGCAATCTATTACCATCAGAAATAATGTAGAGAGCTTATCACCGCGAAGAGCATCTAAAGATTTAGAGACTCCGAAAACTTTGTGGTTTTTAATGCTGAAAATTCATTGGTTAGCGTTCATCAGCGCACTCAAACATTGTTTCTGTTTCTCAGCGCATATCACGCATTTCGAGCAGTAAAACATTCATTCCCTGCCCCAAAGAAGGGGCTTCTCTTGATCATTTGTATGCGTCATCTCCTTTGGATCCACTAGCCAGTTCTTGCATGTGTTCTGGGGATTATACTTGAGTCCGAATCGAATAGAAATTCGATCATTCGAATAAGACATTCGAATATATTCGTATTCGAAATTCGATATTCGGAGTTCTTCCATTTTCGAATAATATTCGAAACTCGAATAATCAAAGAACAGGGTTTCGAATAAAATTCGAAAACTCGAATAACCAAAAAAGAGGTTTCGAATATTATTCGAAAACTCGAATAATAAAAAAAAAAACGGGTTTCGAATAGATTTTATTCGAATGTTTTATTCGAATATTTATTCGAATTCGTATTCGAATGACTCCGTAATGAGATTATTCGACTTTGTTGCAAAGCCAACTACTGAGTATCAAGCTCACTTCGTCCGCGTTTTTTTCGCAAAACTCGGTGATGCATCTTTTGCAACCGTTATGCCTTTGAACTGTATGGAGAGACGCATTTTTCCGACTGCTTGCGACAGTACAAAAATCATATGTGGATTTTAATTGATGTAGAAAGTAGAGCAAGCCCTTTGCTTTTACATTGTTGATGCTGATAAGAAATAAGGTTAATTCTGGTGTACATCAATCTCTTTCAGACCATCTGAAGAGGAATCTTTTGGGCACAGCATAAAAATTTATATCGACTGCTTTTTAGATCGTCCATAATGGGTAAAATATGACTTTTTGCTGATGTATAGACTAGATGCCGACCGACCGACTTTATCGATTTTTGGTGAAGTTTGAGCTGCGGGGCTGAGAGTTGGTACAAGGGGGTAAGTGAGGGTGCTGATTATGGATAAAAATTTACTTTATAAATTTTATCGATTTTTGGAAAATCTCGAGCTATTAGCTTGGGAGTTGGTACAGGGGGTAAATGAGGATGCTGATTAAAACCGAAATCTATTTTATCGATTTCAGCAATTTTTGGGAAATTTTGAGCTAGAAGTTGGTATAGGGGATACTAGGGGGCTGATTATGATTGGATCGGCTCTAGCCAGATATGTCGGCATGTTTGAGATGTGATTGCTTTCGTTATTCGATAAATCATTCGAATTGTTCGAAATTCGACTTCCAATGTACGAATATATTCGATATTCATTCATTCGATATTTTTGATTTTCCGAATTTATTCGAAAATCATTCATTCGATATTTTTGATTTTCCGAATTTATTCGAAACTAGCTGGCTTACCCGGCTCCGCCCGGCTTTGTCAAAAACGACAAAGGTCCCCTTCCTATTCCTGTACAACCTTTCCCTGTGTACACTTCTACATGCAACTCCCTCTATTCCCGCTGGGTTAGTAATCAGCATGCTCACCTACCTCCCTCAACAATCCCAACCCCGTAGCTCAAACTTTGCAAAAGATCAAAAAAATCGATAAAAGTGAGGGCAATCCTGAAAACTGACGGCGCTATTTTATCCGGGCCCCAAAATGTTTTTGTGACAGATCTTGCTCAAACTCGGTATATGGGGGTTATTTGAGCCGCTGATGACGAATATGGTAGTCATTTCGCGTGGCAGCGGGTAAAAATCATGAACCTGCCTGACTTTGGCAGGGAATTATTTAAAGTATTGTTTCAAGAATATCGTGCTTAATCCCCACGATGAAAGTAATTCGAGTGGTATAAAAGTTTCCCACGGCCGTAATGCTTTCCTCATAGGACCACTGCCGCTCGCGATACACCCTTCGGCGGCTTTTGCCTAAACAAAAACAGGGGGAGGGAGATTTGCCGCGTGCGTTACGCGTTGGGACAGCTTATCAGGATGGCGCTGGAAACCGCCATGCAAAACTTTCCCCATTTCGTGAATATCTGGGATCTAAATTGGCCTAAAAGCGAAAAAATAGCCATTCAAACCCTGCAACTCACCATAACTTCACAATCATGCGTTATGATAGCGAGCAAGCATCATATTCATAAGTAGTGTGCTTGTGAACCGTTACAGGTAAGGTTTTGAGCAAATCTGGAACTTCGACCAATCTAACACCTATAGTAACCCAAGCATACATGTGAAAAGGCGAAAATGTGTTCCTACCCCCTTCACACCAGGGCCGGAACCCAGCTGACCCCCCTTCACCCACGGCCGATGAGGAACCGGAGAAAGTGAGACTAAGAAATTAACATTTTAAGCAAAATTAGAAAACTATCCAAATTATTAGAATCAAATTTAGTGACATGTTGATCCTGAATATTATTATTATGATTGTCAAAATTTACTTGCAGGCTCACTGAGAAGTACATCGAAAATTTGCCCCCTATTGTTCACACTTCTAGAGAACGATGAAAAAGCCTGGAGAAGAATTTACGTGTGAAGCCTTTGTGTATATACGTTATTACTCACTTATTTGCTGAAATAATAAGTCAAATAATGGATAACTTTGATGATCGGTGCGCATTCGAATTGCATTCCTTTTAAGGGAATAAATTTTCTAGGCAGATGGCGAAATCCGTGTAAAGTCATTGAATGATTCCTTAAAGAGTCATTGTTCCAACTTTTGATATTATTTCTAAACTCCGACAGAGATCGTAACATTTGCGTAGAGAAGCAGGTGCAACAGAGGAACCTATTACATCCAAGACTTTGTGTAATCAGCGTTAGTCTTACTGTCAAAATGTTATAGCTACGAGGATCGTGAAGTTCTAAAATCCGCCTACTTGGACGATGATAGGGATGAGGAAAGCAGCCAGAGATGCATTTTTCCACCCTGGAGCACTAGACAAGAGGAGAAGGACAATCGCATGTGATACTGCGTGATTATTCTGAAAAAATTTTGTTTTCTATCGAAGAAGATTGAGAAATATAAAAGATCTTAGAAGGAGAACTCAGTCATAATTAGCCTACTCTAGTTTAGAAGTCTACTTTACATCCGCTTTTAGAAAACATACAGCTTGCCAGGAAGAAGAGGAGTTTTTCCTGCTAAATAGAAATAGTTTTAGTCATTTTTTCAAGATTGTAGAATTTTTCTATAAAAATTGTAGATTTTTGAGAGAAGATAAGAGAGTCTCTAGCCGTACATTGAATTTCTCGTGTTGAAAGCTTCCAGAAAATATATAGAAAGAAATACCAAGAAAGAAGGGATTTTCTTGTATTGTGAAGGTGGTCGCAATTGTTTTTCTAAAATTAAGGAATTTTTTATAGAAATTCACAACTTTACTATACTAAAAGCTAGAAGAGTGCTTTGCACTTTATTGGAATCCCCTTGTCGTCCGCTTTCAGGAAATATATAGTCTGCCAGGAAAAAAGAGGATTTTCCT